CGGACGGCACCCGACAGATGTCCCAGCGACCTGCCGAGCGGGGAGCCCGTCGCCGTGTCCGACGCTGGACCCGACGCCGCGTCCGACGCCGCACCCGACTCCGCGACCGACGCCGCTCCCGGCGCCTTCGCCGGCGGCCTCCCTGGCCACCCTCCCGAACCCGGCAAGACGGGAGCCCTCCCGACGGCCCACCCGACAGCCTTCCCGGGGGCCTGCCGGACGCCCTACGCGGTGGGGGCGTTGGTGGAGGGATGCGCCCAGGATGCTGCAGACCCTGGAGGACTCCTTCTCTGAGCTGGGCGGCGGTGATATCCATGGCCAAACTTCGGCTGGGGTTCCACCGGCCTCCAGACCCTGGGTTCCTGATCGAAGCTTTCCCTGCCCAGTGCCATCACCGCATGGCCCTAGCTCCCGTGACTTGTGCTGCGGGCTAGTGAGTGCAGCGTGCACGTTGCCCGCAGGAAGAATCTGTATGCACGCACGGGCCCCTCGGGGCCCTTGAAGAGCAACACAAGAAATGCCATCACTGCATCCGTCGCCGTATCCGGCGCCGCCCCTCCCGCCGCCCCTCCCGGAACCCCCACGACAGCTGGAGCGACGGCAGCTCGAAGGTTTCCTCACCCAAAACTATCACCGCATCTGGCGCCGTATCTGGCGCCGCCCTTCCGGCGCCGCCCCTCCTGGCCAAAACCCCACGACAGCTGGAGCGACTGCAGCTCGAAGGCTTCCTTACCCAACGCTCTGGGGCGTGACAGCGAGGCGATTGCGAGCAGAGCTGAGTGTCAAGGAATCCTTTCACTGACGAGCGAGTTCAAACATCGTGAAACGGCCCTCTATGCTGCCTAATCAAGAAAGTAAGAAAAAATCACCTCCTCCGTCGCCGTATCCGGCGCCGCCCGTCCTGACGCCCGGCGGAAACCCCACGATGGCTGGAGCGACGGCAGCTCCTTCCGCCCCTGCCTCTGGCCGCCTGCCCAGGCCGCTCCCTCCCCCCCCCAGGCGCGTCGCTGCGCCCCCCCACCCGCTGCCCACCCCCAGACATCGCTGCCCTCCATCCTCCTTTCTTCTCCTCGTCCTCCTCGTCCTCCTCCTCCTCCTCCTCCTCCTCCTCCTCCTCCTCCTCCTCCTCCCCCTCCTCCCTCTTCCTCCTCCTTGCCCTCCGCCTCTTCCCCAGACATCGCTGCTCCGATCTTGTTCGAGGCGTGGGCCCCGGAGGTCCGGGCCCCTTCCCCGTGGGGCCGGTCTCGCATCCCAGGCCGTTTCTCGACGCCCCCGAGGCCCGGCGAGGGCACCCAGAGGCCGAACGTGGCCCCAAAGCAGCCCGCTCCCATCTGGTCGGCCTGCCAGGTGCCCTGCCCGACACCCTGCCTGAGGCCCTACCCGACGCTGTTCACGACGCCGTATCCGACGCCGTGCCCGCAGCCGATTTTGCAACGCCGCCGCCGCCGCTGCCGCGCCCGACCCCGTATCCGACGGCCGCCCCGACCACCCCCCGAGAGGCTGGGGCCCGAAACAGGCGTCCACCACTCCGGAGCCAGAGCGTGCGAGACTGGCGATCTCTGGCAGATGTGGGAGGCGAAGCTGCAACCCGATGCGATCAGCTACCACTCGGGAATCATCTACCGCTCAGGAGGTGCAGGTGCGTCTTGAAGAATTCTTTACGCTTCGCGTATCCCCACCAGCCCATCTCACAACAGCAACTCTTGCGAAGCGTGCCGACAGTGGTGTTTTTCAGGCGTGTGTCCGCTTGGCCCCGCATATCTCCCCTGTTCCTCCTTCTTCCCGCCTCCTTGTACATCCTCCTTGTGGGGCAGCGGGAGAAGGACGACGCGGAAGAGGAGGGAGAGAAAGCGGTGGGAGGCAAGAGGGACTCAGCGGAGAGGACGATCTCATCGATGATCTGAACAACGACGACGCACCCGACGACGACGACGATGTCGACCGCAACGACGACGACCAGAACCGGGACGACGACGACGACGACGTCGACGACGACGACGACGAAGGCGGCGGTGCGGGCCCTCGTTGTGTGAGTCCTTCGGCCCCGTCGTCCTTGGGTGAGTCTTTCGGGACCCTATTCCTGGTGTGAGTCGCTCGGTATCCTCGTCGTGTGAGTCGTTCGGGCCCCTCCTCCTGGTGTGAGTCGTTCGGGCTCCTCGTGTTGTGAGTCGTTCGGGCTCCTCGTGGTGTGAGTCGTTCGGGCGCGTCGCCCTGGTGTGAGTCGTTCGGGCCCCTCGTCCTCGTGTGAGTCGTTCGGGCTCTTCGTGGTGTGAGTCGTTCGGGCCTCTCGTCCTGGTGTGAGTCGGTGGGGCTTCTCGTGGTGTGAGGCGTTTGGGCACCTCGTCCGCGTGCGAGTCGTTCGGGCCCTTCGTAGTAGGATTCGTAGTCGTCGTCGAGTCCAACGATCTCCCCGACCAGCGTCGTCGTTGTTGCCATTCTGGCTAACAGTATTTCAGTGTGGCTGTGAGCTTCGCTCCGCCTACCAGGGATCCACGATCTT